GAAAATTTGTTACTTTTTTTTTTAATCCATATTATTCAAAGAGAAAATGAGAGAGATGATGATTTTGAGGCCACCCTATCCCAGCCATATTATTCACATATCGAGTCCCAACAGCAACAGTGTAGGGATGAGCACGACAGTGCAAGTGAGCATGAAGGATGGACAAGCTTCGGGGATTTTGGATTGGGAATACAACAAAACACTAACACTCATGGATTTGGGAATAGTCAGACGCCTGCTAATATCGATGATTCGTTTTTAAATCGAATCAATGAATTGTTAAACGAATTCAATCAATGGCATCAGCGTGACCAAGAAGAACAATAACGTCGTCTATCATTTTATTTTAGATCATATGTTACTAATTTTATGCTTTATTGTAGTCCATGTATATTGATATACTTATTCTATGATAATTCTATGTTTTTCCTTTTGTGTGATGTAAATTAAATGTTGAATGGCGGTTCATGCAGGGAAAAAACATATCAATATTCGCATATTCATTCAAAAACATGAAAATTCTTAATGGAGTACCCTCATTTCTTATTGAATTCCTAAAAAATAATATTTATAATGAATTTTAATAATTTTTTCGGATTTTTTTTAAGCTTTACCTTGACCGATTCACCCGATTCCAGATCCGGATCGCCGATTCGCCGATCCGGATTGGTTTTTTGGATGTCCGATCTGGATTACCGATCCGTTTTTTAAACCATTGGATAGAATCCATTCCTACATCTCATCATTCCTATTATATTCTTTTTTGGAATGTTAGTTAGGCATTCAAACCTCATAACTTTGTGTTGAGGTCATCTCACGCTCTAACTATGAGGCAAGAGGCAGGATCCCAACCGCATAAAACAATGTCGTCGTCATTATCATCATCCTAGTGTTATCCTGACTACTTGAAGATAGCTACATAAATCAAGATGCGACAATTTTATGCTGGCGGTCTTACCTATCACAACCCTCTTCTTTTATTTGTGGCTGTCTTACCTATCACAACCCTCTTCCTTTGTTTGGTATCGGCAACTCGGAGTTTCCATCCACATCAAACAAAGTAAAAGTTTTAAAAGTGCCACCGCGAAAGAGGGGTGAGCTTGTTGATGTAGACATTCCGTCACTCATATCAAACACAACCAAAAGGATTTCTTTTTGGACCGCAGTAGTTCTTACGGTGACTATTCTTGCGGGACCACATTCGTACTTCGCCATGAATATCAGTGTCTGAGTAGTTCTTGTGGTGAGTAGTCTATAGTGACCAGTCCTACAGGACCACATTCGTACTTCACCATGAAAATCAATGTATAAGGGCGTAGATGATCATGCCATCAAGTCTTTAAACTGTGAATGTTGTGCTTAATAAGGGAGCCATTATCCAAGGAAACCCCCAAATGTTATGTCAATGAAAAGTGAACATAGGCACGTGCCAGCAGTTGATTTGTTTTTCAATGGTTGATAACCGTTAGATTGTGACTATTGAAAACCCGACAATCACATGGCATGATCAGTAATGACCGTTGACATGATCAGCCACTTTATCAATCTAATAGTGATCGCACTGTTGCAAAATGAATTTAAAAGATATTGAACATATTATATGAAATAAAAACATATGCATATTGTTCATATTTTCTTGCATTTGATTCTATAGTTTTTAAGGGCCTTGATCGAGCCACTCAGCCCATTGCCACCCCTACCCAAATCTCATTGGGAAAACGGATTGTATACAATAAGACTATTTACCTTAGTATAGAGAGGTCACAATTACTCACAACCATCCGATGTGAAATCTGATAGCTTGGATGTGACGTAAAGTTCGATAAAATTTATTTTGACCTTTAAACTGGGTCAATGAAATAAATGCAGCCACCCAATATCATATCCAATGGTCAATATTAATTGTGACCACCTTATACAAAAGGTAAGTAATCTCATCACATACTTTTCCTTGGGAAAAATATGTCCCGACTCACATCCTCTATATATCTATCATCTTCAGCTCAACAAACGTTAACTTTTTTTTTAAAAAAAATATTGGCTAATTTGATGTCAAAATTTGTCCATCTTGCATCATTTATTACGATACATTAGACTTGCATGAACACCAAGTTTTACTCTCAAAAGCGCATCATGCCACTACTTTTGGGTTCGGGATTAGAGTTTTTTGAAAATTTTGAGATGCAACTGTTTAAAACCGCACACTAACCAAAACCTCACCCTTTTAAATCAGGTGGTCATGTTGAAATTGTTAAGGCATGGGGATACTTTCAAACTTCGTTGCAACGGTTGGGCCAAGCCAAGCCCAAGTCCTGTCCCGGTCCATATTGGGCCAGCGTTGTTTGAGCCCCGAGCCTAGCTCCAATCTTGGATGGGCTGGGCCTAATTGACTCAAAAGAAAAAAAAAAAAAGGGAAAAGAATAAGAGAAAATGCATGGCACATTTTGGGCCTAGATTGCTAGCCCAGCACTAGTTCCTTGTACCATTTTTTTAAAAAAAAATTATGAATCAAGAAAAAAAAAAAAAAACTAAGTTGACTATACAACAATAATACCTCCCATAATTTCTTTGCTTCCAAATAATCAAATAAATCTATGTTAGAGAAGTATCTATATCCAACGAGTCAATTTGTATAAGCATGTCAACTTATATTGTGGACATTTTTTGCCACACAAATTTTTACACTTCGGTTCATTCTTTGCCACATAAAGGAGATCAATCCTTTATTGACTTTAGTATTCTCTTGAGCATTTGAATAGTTTCCAAAAGAATCCTCCTCATTTTTCCACGAATAGTTGTTGGGAAAATAAAATGAAAACCCTTTTTTTTCCCAATCAAATAAAAAACGTTACGTTATTGTGGAATAATTTCAAACAAATACTCTTTTTTTTTCATGTAAGGGAAAGTGTTATATGCATCAGCCGTGGACATCTAATGTTCATTAGTTTCAACAATGCAGATCAATTTTGAACCCCATATTGGGTCAGGCATAAACTATTAAAATTAAATAGGAGGTGCAGATGTAAGGGCCCGCACCGAAACAAATGCTTTAGCACCCTCAAGTGACTGAATTCTTCATGTAATCATAGAATGAACCATTGGTCATGCTTTCTAGGTTTGCTTCATTCTTTGATAAAAAAATAATTTCTAAACATGTCTATGTTGGCTCAAAAGCCTATTTCCGTTTTCTTCTTGCGAAAATGTTGAATAAAAGGCGCTTATTCTCGTTCGAGGTGCAACACTTACTGTACATGTGATTTTCTCGGAACCCCTTCAAACCATATATCTAATCTCTTTATACACTTTAGATTCTCTTTTTCTATCGATCCCTAGCCCTGGCTCGCTCCATTCAAGACATAGTTAGTCCAAATCACGTCCCTAGCACCTCCACCTCATTAGAATGCACTGTCAATCTATAGCTTGCTTTTTCACCGTTGTATCTAAGTCAAAGTACCTTTTAGCTTGCTTGGCAAAACCTTCTAAGCTTCGAAACATCTATCCTAGCCCAAGCAAGCCCTCATAATCAGAACTCATTCATTTGATTCAAACAATAGCTGAGACAGAGCTCACCCCTTCCTCGGCCCGTTGGAGCTCTTTGACTCCATCAATCGGTTTCTCCCCATGAGCTTAAGAATTCTTAGCATCCATGTCTCTATAGTAGGTCAAAGCACTCGCTACTATGGCATTGCATTGCAGGTAGGTAGCAAGGTCAAACTATTTACCCGCGAACTTTTTGCAACAGTAAAAAGCCAAAAAGCAAGCCTACGTGTCTCCACTGGCACGGAAGCCTACGTGTCTTCACCGGCTCAAAAGCCTACATGTCTTCACTGGCTCAAAATCGTACTTGAGAGCTAACACACATGTTTTCTTTGCGCAAAGCGAAGCTTCAAATTATGTTAAATAAAAGGTGCTTATTCTCACTGGATGTGCAACACTCTCTATACATGTGATTTTCTCGGACCCCCTTCAAACCATATCTCTAACCTCATTATACACTTTAGATTCTCTTTTTATATTGACCTTTCACCTTGGCTCACTCCAATCAAGGCATAATTACTCCAAATCCATTCCTTGACACCTCTACGTCATTAGTCGAATTCTCATTCTCAATCTATAGCCTATTTTCTCACAGGTCTATCTAAGTCAGAGTATCTTTTAGCTTGTTTGGTAGTACCTTCTAAGCTTCAAATATTCTATCTTAGCCCAGGATGGTCCTCATAGTGGGAACTCCTTCAATTCGTTCAGAACCATAGCTGAGACAGAGCTCACACCTTCTTTGCCTCTTCGGGGCTCTTTGACTCCATCAATTGGCTTCTCCCATGAGCTTAAGAATTCCTAGCATCCAAGTCCTGATAACAGGTAGGTAGGTAGCAAGGTCAAACTATTATCTTAGTCTTTGCCCTCAAACATTTCGCAAGAGCAAAAAGCCAGCAAGCATAGGCTCAAACACTTACGTGCCTTCACTGGCTTGAAAACCTACGTCTCTTCACCTAAAAAGTCTACGTGTCCGAGCTGGCTCGAAAGCCAACTTGACCGCTAATGCACTTTGTTTTCTCCGTAGCACTAGCGCACTCTTTTTTCTTCACATCTGGAGCGCCAAGCAAACTATAACTCGAAAGCTTACGTATCTTTGCTGGATCGAAAGCCTACGGGCATTCGTTGGTTTGCTTTTTTACGCTATAATTTGCTTGCACCCGCACGCATTGCATCGCACACTTCTCAAACTTGTGCTTTTAATGTTTCAAAAAAAACAAAACAAAGAGACTATTTATCTTGGATACAATATTTTCAATGCTATTCTGAACAATTAATGTGCAATGATGAGTCTTGGCATGTGTCATTGATCTCATTAAAAGTAAAAAAAAAAAAAGGGTTCTCAAACTTTATGATACATCCTTAGCCTTAAAACTTCAAATCTAACTATTATGGGTGATTATAATTGGGATGATTTATAACTTAACAAATGAGCAACCGTATAGTATGACAATCTTGAAAGATTGCATTGCAGATGGTCATCGATTTCCAAAACAATCCCAGGCAGGACAGATAGTGAGATAAAGAACTATTGGAACACTTACCTTAAAAGGAAGCATGCATCGAGATCAAAGTCACAACCTATGCATGCGAGTTCAACAAAAGTGGTAGACCCTCGAGGACACTCTTCACCTGGCTTCAACCCACAAACCATAACTGAAGGTCCTTTAAAAGTGGTCAAGCCACGGCCTCATCGAGTGGGGAGATCCATATTTGCAATGGAAAGTGAAGAGGCTGTTAGGATTATGAGTGCTTCCCATATGCCACATATAGAAGACATGATTCCATTTCAAACCAGTGCAATCACATGTAGGGAGATGATCTTTGAAAAAGAAGAGCTTTTGCAAACAAGTCTAGAGGGAGAGAGAGGTTTGTTGGGTGATGGGTCATTAGAGAGAGATGAATGTGAGATGCTTAATTCATTTCTTTTGGACTTGCCCACTTTAATGTTTTGACTTGACCTTCCCAAATCCTGGTGAAGAAGAGAGGGCAATTGCATGTTATCCCATATATATATATAAAGAGAGAGAGATTAAAATATATTTAACTTGATAAACCAATTAAGCTATAATCCTGGAAATATTAAAAGTTGGTGGAGAAACTTACATAAGGGAAGAGATTTCATAGTGATCGTTACTACAATGTCTATTGCATTTTATGGCAAAATGGTGTAACAACGCCTATTATCATTTATGTATTCTTCTGCTTTTTATGATTTACTATATTTTTGTTCGATGGAAACTTCCTGTAATTTAATATGTGCACTACGACACAATAATCATTTCATCTCATGTGTGGATACTAAAAATTGAGTGATTTACATACAGATCTTAAAATATTTGAGGATACTAAAAATTGAGTGATTTACATACAGATCTTAAAATATTTGAGGATACTAAAAATTGAGTGATTTACATACAGATCTTAAAATATTTTCTAAAATATGAAATTATCCATTTATAGGTAGAAATTACAAAGATGGTTGGTCCTAATTTTAAATTTTTTTTTTTTTTTAGTTTTTGTTAGTTGGGCCATGCCCCGAAGGTTTATAGCAATGCCCCACTAACAAAATCAAATAAAAATAAAAATTTGGTCCTAGGATGTCCTCGTACCAATGGGTAATTTTGATAAAAAAAATTTTAAAGAGTGGATTGGCCCACTTTCTTTGTAATTTTCACCTATAAATGGAGCATTTTGTATTTTAGAAAAAAAAAGTAAGGTCCTTACATAAATCACTCTAAAAATTATTATTTTTTGACAAATATCATGAATATTATTAAAAAATGAAGTTACCCGAACGGGATTACATCATAAGAAATAGTAAGGGAAGAAAGACACAGAGATTTGAGTTCCCAACGAACCTTTATTTCCTTTTTACACCATTTAATGGCGTTTTACGAAATCCCCTCAACAATACAAGGTCTGCCTCGAAAATTAGAATAAAGAAGTTTAGAACCTTGTAAAAGAGAAGCCATTTCAGCAAAGTTAGCAGTAGCTTCTTCAATTGGACCTGTGAAAGATAGAAAGACAACTCCATTTGAATCACGAACAACTCCCCCAATAATTCCTTTGGATTACCTTGTGAGCTCCCTCCAAAATTTAACTTCAACACATCAAGCAGAGGTGGACACCACACAATCATCGCCCTAATCCTCGCCAACCCCAAAGACATCAAATTGTGAAGTTATATCATAACATCTACCTCTGATATTCTCCATCCTTCCTTTGTTGCAGCCAGCCAATACCAAAGGAAATGCTTGATTTTTAGAAAAAAACCTTTTAAAGGGAAGGTATTCCCCTTCAAAAGTGTGTCTGTTACATTCTAGCCAGATTTCCCACATAATAACACATTTAGCTATCTTCCAAATAACTCTCCTAACCTCTGGTAGGCCAGAAATAGAGAGGTTTGTTATAATACCAAGAAGATTTTGGGGCATAGGCATACTAATACCCATCATAACAAAAAACCATTGCCAAATTCTAATTGCAACTTGGCAATGGAGAAAAAGGTGACGCCTAGCTTTCCCATATTCCTTAAACATCAAACAAAATATTTGGAAGAATTTTCCCCCTCCTGATAAGATTATCTACTGTTAGAATATTATCTTGTGCCGCAAGCCAAATGAAGATCTGGACTTTATAAGGTATTGACCATTTCTAAATCTGAGACAACTGAGGTATTGCCTACCTCCATTGATCATGGAAGAGAAGTCTGTAACAAGACTTAATTGAAAACATCCAATCACTTCCCTCCTCCCTTATAACTTCATCATCTGAAGCAGAAGAAATATAAACACCTTTCAAAATTTTCAAGAGGGAAGATAGTTGCACAATAAGATCCTTACTCGGCCTGTTATATGGTAAGCTCACATTCCAAAAGACATGGTCATCCTCTCTATCGTAAATGTCAACAACCTTGGCATTTGGATTGGTAACCTTCTCAAAAAGGTCATAAAATAATAGCTTCAAAGAACCCCACTTATGATACCAAAAGGAAATGTGAGAACCGTCACCAACTATCCATCTAATACTTCTGTCGATGAGAGGTTTGCATTGAGCAATAGCTTTCCAAAAGAAAGATGCATTTCTACCCCTACCAACTCCTAACCACATACCATGGCTATCCATTCCATATTTTACATTTGAAACTTTAAACCATAAATGATCTTTTTAGAGGAGACTTTGCTACTACCATTAATAGAGCTTGGTTTATTAGTTTAACTCTCCGGATCACCAAACCTCCTTCACTTTTTGGAGTACAAACTCTATCCCATCTCAGGAGATGGTATTTTCTATCATCACCATAAGAGCCCCACAAAAAGTCCCGCATCATCTTCTCTATTTTCTTACAAACAGCTGCAGGCATCTGTAGGAAAGACATTTGGTAGATGGGCAGATTTGCTAAACACGACTGTAACAGGGTAGCCCTTCCACCTAAAGACACATATTTTGGCTTCCAGAGATCCAACTTACTTTGAACACAACGAAAGGCCAAATCCCATGCAGAGATAGATAATCTTCTATCCGAAATAGGCAAGCCCATATAAGTGATTGGGAAATGATCCACCTAACATGCCAAAGCCTTCGCCAAACCTGAAGTAACTCTTCACTACTGTTGATACCAACCAATGATGTTTTGCCAAACTAATCGTCACCTCACAAATATTGAAAAAGGTGGCAATATTACTAACTTGCACTGCATCTGCATCACAAAAAATCAAGGTATCATCTGCACATTGTAGGTGCAAAATTTGAATATCAGATACGACAATCGAAAAACCACTGAAGTACCCCCTTACCTTTATATTTTTAAGTATAAAATTGAAGCACTCGGCATAAATGGTGAACAAGAACGATGAAAGTGGGTCACCTTGCCTTAAACCACTCGACACTCTAAAAAATCAAGTGGGAGAACCCTTAACCAAAACAGTGAAATGAGCAGAAGGGAGACATCCAAAGATCCAACTTCTCCATTTTTCCCCAAAACCCAGCTTCCTCATTATTTCTAGGAGAACCCCCCATTCAACTCTATCATATGCTTTCTCCATATCTAGTTTAATAACTACCCCTGAATTTTGGCTAATCAACTTCAAATATATGCACTCTATGCTATCAAAGAACTATCTGTGATAAGTCTATCCTGAATTAAAGTTGATTGTGGGCCTGATACAACCACAGTAATACAATTTTTAATCTTTTTGTCAGAATTTTTGCCACCATTTTATGTAGGCTAGTAAGCAAGCTAATGGGTCTTATATCACCAAGACCAACAATCACAGATTTTTTAGGAATCAAGGCAATATACATAGACTTGACTCCTTTAAATAACTCCCCCCTTCTAATAAAGTCCCCTCACCATTTCAAGCAATCCCAAAAAAGTCAAACTCCAAAAATTGAAAAAGGACTAAAGGGAAACTATCATGATTCAGTGCCTTATCGCCTGGTAAACCAAAAACAATTCTTTTTAATTCCTCCACCATTACCTCAACCTCAAGTTAAGCAACATGTCCAGGTGTAAAGCATTTGAAAGGTACCTTGTTTAGCCTCAAGGTAAAAGACACCTCAGAGGTAAAAGCCTTCTTGAAATGGTCAACTATTACCCTCTCCATTGCTTGACTATCATCAGGGTCAACACCCCGGATGGTGATGCCTGAGATATCATTCTGTCTCTCTCAAGCATTGGCAATAGTATGAAAGAACTTAATATTATGGTCCCCCTCTTTCGGCCACTTCGTCCTAGACCGTTGGTTCCAATAACTTCCAATCTTTTTAAGTAAAAAAGAGACTTAAGTTTAGAGTTTCTATCCACTCTCATCTCTTCTGTCAAGACACCCTCATGCTGAACATTAAGATCCATCATCTCTATATCTAATAAAACCTCATCAATTTTGGTTTTAACAAGGTATATATTCTCCTTCTTTCAATCAAGCAGTTTTTTCTTAATCTCTAAGCGCTTCTTATGCAACTGAAAATCTATTGATCCCACAAAAATGGTATTTTCCCTAGAGTGACGAATGAGGTCTACAACCTCTTTCTCTTCAACTGATTTCAAGACGAAAAGTTTTTAAACCACCAGTAATAACTTTAGAACCAGCAACAATGGTGTATGATCTGAAGAAAGTCTAATAAGAGCATGAACAGAAGCCAAAAAGAAAGCTTCCGACCATTCTTGAGACCATAGAAACCTGTTCAATTTGGACATAACAAGATGGACCATACTATTATTTGACCAAGTAAAGGACGTTCCTGAAATTGGCAGATCCAACAACAGATGCCTTTCAATAAAACCATGAAACAGTCTTATGTAAGAGTTTAGGGGGGCAATGAGGAAGACTCATCTAGCCAACAAATGAGGTTAAAGTCATCCCCCAAGCAAAAAAGAAGAGGAAAAGAAAGATCATTAATAAACATTTTCTTTAAGGATAGGTAAATTCGAACCATATATATTCAACAAACCCCAAGATAACATCGGCAAAGGTCCAATAAAACCCACTAACAAAAACTTATCCATGACAATTGACATAAAACTTTGCAAAACCAAAGGGTCCCACAAAACCCACAAGCCCCCTGAAGCACCTACTAAATCTATACCCAAAAAGTTAACAGCCTCTGAGCCCCAAATTTACTGTACCCCAAAAACTATCGGGCCGAGCAATTTGGTCTCCTGCAACATCAAAATATCATGTCTGAATTTAGAAACTAAAAACCAGTCCTTTGTCTAGGGTCACCCGGACCCCTTACATTCCACGACATTATAACATTTAAATAGAATATTAGAGGTCAAACCTGGACCATTAACACAAGGTCTGAAGTAAGCTTCTTCTAACATCAGAGCCTCTTCCAAAGCTGCAGAGTCAGAGACATCAGAAGCTCTGCTTAGGTCCACCATCTCTGTCTAGGACAAGGAAACCTTCTTAGGCCTCAGGGTGCTCTTGATAATACCTCTGGACTCCAG